TAATAACTAAATCTAACTATATATAATAATATAAAAATACAATATTTAAGAAATATGCTAAAACCTATTTTATAACAATATAAAACTATTCTTTAATATTATTAACTCTCAAAACTTCAACTCATATCTTTTTTCTTTTCATATAAAAGTCTTATTCAACAATCTACTTACTATAGCTAATCTAAATCTTAGATTACCACTTATATATCTTACTCTAAACTATACTTATTATAACTTATATAAATATCTAAATCATCTTTTTCAATACTCACAAACTTTAAACTATTCACAAATACTTCTACAAACAATCTTCTAAACATTCATACAACTAAATATTAACTTTATATTTTTATAAAACCTTCTTCAAATCTTTCTACTTCCAAACAATAATACTTTATATACTAACAATATAATATAACTTATTCAAAAAACCTTTCCTATATATATAACTACTTAATTTTACCTCCTTTTATAGAAAAAAACTCTACTCTTCTATATACAACTCTCTAATCTACTTCTTGAATAGTTTAACTAAAAAATCTGATAACTAAGAAATAAATATTAATATAACTAAAAAACTCTAAAAAATATTACTACTAAATCTAAACAGACAAAAATATCTTATACTCAAAATATTATAACTTCTTTATTAAACAAATGAAACCAAACTATCATTAATAACAATATTGATACAAATATACAAAAATAGTTTATTTAAAACTTCTTAAAACTTTCATCTTTTAACTAATCCAAATATTTAAATCCTAGATTCTCTTTCTTTCTTTTCTTTAACTAGTAGTAGCTTTGTTTTAACTCAACTTAAACTAGTTTATAAATAGAAAATTGAAAGTAATATATTATACTAAATAGTGCTATATAGAAATTTTAATAATAGTTCAAATCTAATATTAACCTGATATTTACTATATAACTATTTGTTTTCTATATTTAATATAATAAATAAAATAAAAAAAAAAAAAAAAAAAAAAAAAAAAAAAAAAAAAAAGCAAAATGTTTTTTGAAAGTTTTGATATAAGTGATCTATCAAAAGAATTTTAATTATAGTATTCCTTCTCTAAATATAATAAATATTTGTTAGTAAATTTTTTTATATCTATATTATAAAAATAATAATTATTAATATAAATATTATTTTATAATAGATATAAAATATATTTATAGTATTTAACATTATAGTATTATTTTGATTTGCAAATTTGTATAACAAAAACAAAAAAATAAATTTTTATAAAACAAAAAACAACTTTTTATTATTTTAGAGTTAGAATAAGGTCTAAGATTTTATCTAGATATTATTATATACAAAATTTAGCAAAAAATTTTTTTAATTAGAGCTTCAAGAGTAGGTTTATAAGTGAATTTTGAGATATTATTATTTTTTTGAAAAAATAAACAAAAAAACAAAATTTTAGATTATATCTGATCTTAAATTTTGATTAGCTATTCTAATAGCTTTATATATATATCATTTAATACCTATAGTACAGATTTGTACTACTGTTATTTTATATTTATTAATATTTATTTTATTTTATTAAAAAAAGAATCAAAAAATTACAATTTTGTAAAATTGCTAAAACTACTATATTATTTTAAAAAAATATAAGAAAATCCAAAAATTCTTATATTATTCATCTAAAATAAATTTGTAACTATTAACTAAATATACTTTTTTACAATATTTCATATTATAATATTAGTAAAAATCTAATAAATTAGTAGCTAATATACTATTTAGACAATAATAATAATAATGATAATAAGTATTATTTTCAGTAATTAAATTTAAAATTACTAGTAATAATACCTTACTATATAAGCTATAAAAGAATATTTTTAATATTAAAATAGTTTTATAGTAAAAAAAACAAAATTTAGAATCAAAAAATTAGAAGATATAATTAAATTATATTGTTATAATGTTTCTAATTCTATAAAATTATTAGCTAATTATAGAAAATCTAAAACTCAAAAAAAATTAGAAGAAAAGATTTAGTAATCTTAATATTGTAATTAGATTACTAAACTACTATATAAGAGATCTAGAGTTCAAATCTCACTGTCAATAAATTTGAATAATTACTTAAACCTTTATACTCAACTTATAGTAAACTTTGTTTATTTCTAAAGATTACAAGCTTATAAATTATATTATACTAATATTAATTAGATATTAGAAGTATAATATAATATTCAAATTATATTGTATAAATAAATCTTGATAAGATTTATAGGTAGAGAATCTGCATAGTAGAAATTCTGAGTTTAGTAAAGTAGTACAAATTTTAACTATCATACTAGTTAAAATTTAATTTAGTAAAATATCTAGATATAAAAAATATAGATTAAGTAAATACAAGTAAGTCTATTATATAACACAATTAGATACTTTGTATTAGTAGTAATATCAACTTGATTTGATAATTAACTAAATTAGAAGAATCTATTTTGTAAAATATCTAACTAGAATCTTAGAAAACTAATCTAGTAGAGAGTTATAGTAGGAACTGAGTATATATAAATATTAACAAAAGTTTAAAACAAGTAAATTTGTAAAATATACTGTGAGATCTGAAAAATAGTTAGGTTGAGTTCAGAACAGTATAACATGACCTAGGTCACGAAGAATAAAATCACAAAATTATATTTATCACATAAGTTACATAAATCATATAAGTTAGATAAATTGTATTTATTGCATTTATTATATTTATAGAATTTATGTGATTTATGAAATTATGTAATTTATGTAACTTATATAACTTACAGACTTTATGTGATAAATTAGATTTATTACTTTTATAATATTTATATAATAAAATAGTATTCAAATTTTATATTATAAATAAAGGCTATATAGGCTCAGTAAGGAGAACAACTCCTAAGTTTTGCATTAATAAAACTGAGTTCTTTATTAAATATTCCTTAAGTCTTATATATTTTAAATTCTAAATAATCCACTTACACTAAATTGATCTCTAAACTCTGGTCTACTATTTAACGCAACTAATAGTAAAATCTTTGTTAACTTGCTTATATGATACCTACCTCATAAATTTCCAGTTAAGTCTTAATGTAACAAAACTAACTATGATATATTGTCCATCTAATCCAACAGACTATAGTTAGTTGTGATTGTTTTATCTATCCAATTATCTGATAAACTGTGGTAATTGTGGTTTAAAGTTTCAGATACATGATGAATAGTTATATCCTAGTTGACCAAATCTCAAATACCAAGTCTCTATGAGGTTCTTTTTTGAATAAATAAAAGATTAATATTAGAGAAGTATCATCCCAAGGCATAATTATCAAGAAGTCCTAGAGTTCTCACCTATGAATATAACCTGCTAACCAAATCTAAATATTCTCTTTTGACTAAGCCATTCATAGATTACACAAAATTTTTAATAGTTAAGCAACTGACTTGCTGTAATTCCCCCAGTGATAATACATATGACTACTCTAGTAGAAATTACTTTTATAGTTAACTAAAGCTCTATGTACTTATAATATGTTGAGCAATATATATTCTAAGAGAATCTAAGTTGTGTAGTAAATAGATCTACAAGCAAATTAGTTAGCTTAAATAGTAAGATATAATAATGATATTAATTTAAAATAGAAAAAAAAGTTAATAATCAGAGTGTTTAAATAGATAACTCATAGACAGGTTGCAGGTATAATAGCATAGCTAGAACCAACAGATGATTTAATGTCTATATAGCAAACTACTTAAATTAAACAATAACTAAAAATTAAATATGTGATATATTGTATACTTATCATATAATTATAAACTTTAGAAGGTTAATACTATGATAACTTCTATAATAACAAATTAATAAAATCTAATTAGCCAAGTAGGCAACCTTAATAAAAAAAAAAAAAAAAAAAAGAAATTAGAAAAAATAATTAAAACATTTAAAAATAGGTTAAATAAAAATTATATGGATAATAAAGATAATAAAAGTAATGAATATAAAGATAATATTGAAATTTTAAACTATAATAATGGTAAATTAAATTTATAGAAAGAAATACACAAAGATAATAAATTTAAAATTTAAGAAATTATGAATTTAAATATAATTAATGATGAAATTACTAAAAATATTCAAGAAAATGAAGTTGAAATAATTAAAATAATAATTATAATCTATTAAATGTAGTAAATAGATTTTTGAAAAAATTTTGAAGAAATTGAAAAAGAATATGAAGAAGAAATTGAAGCAATAGAAGAAGAAATAGAAAAGGAAGCTAAAAAAAAATTTTTGAAAATAATAAAATTGAAGAAAAAAAATAAAACTGTTATAGCTCAAAATACTACAGAAAATAGTTATAATAGTAGTGAAGAGCTTGATAGTTCTACTTTATAATATCAATTAGAAGAAACATCAACAAAAAAAAATTTAAACTTCGTAAACAAGAGTCTAAAAATTATAAAGATTAAATAAAAATATTTATAATATTTAGTTAAATTATTCATTTACATTAGTATAAATAATTAAGATTTTTTTCTTATAATATAAATTAAGTTTTTTTTTTCTTAATAATTTATATTAATGTAGTAAGATAGATTTATTTTATTAAATAAAAATTTATTTTAGTTTTGATTATTAACTTTAAAAAATATTTACTTCAATAAAGTATTTCATTTTTATTCAAACATTTAGTTATTTTGATAAAGTATTTCATTATTATTAAAACATTTCTTTCAAATTTTAATAAGACTTTTGACTTTAGATATGAATTTCTAATTTTGATACGACTTTTGAATTTCGATACGAGTTT